ACAAACCCCATAGAGTTAGGGTAGATAAAATAACAGAAAAAACAAATATCTGAAATATATTTAGGAGATTTTAGAGATTACACAAATAATATTTGAGATAAACAATAGTTTTTTCAGTTATAACATGAAAATCACTTCGCACTTGGACTGATAACGAAACAGACTCGATATTTTCACGAACAAATCTATAATAAAAAGTACTTAATTAAAAAAAATCAGGTTTTTTTTAGTGTACGAAAGACTTATCTTTACTAACAGTCTACCAAATTTTGTGAAGATAAACTTATTACATTAAAAGTTATAGTATAAATATTTAACTCATGTATATTATACTGAGCCCATCGTGAAACGGTTAATGGTTTCAAAGTAAACTTGAATCTGGAAGTATTTATTTTATATGTGTTATAATACTAATCTAGTAATTGCTGTAAGAAAATTAACAGAATAAATATAAATTACACCATTATTTTTTTTATCTGAATGATCTTATAAGGAAACCCAATGAAAGATGAATACATAAAACTGATGATTAAGAATACATATGTATGTCAGAAAGCTACTGAAAATGTTTATCATAAATACAATATCTTGTGTATTAGATTCTTCTATATTAAAAAAATATTATGAACCATACAGACTTTATCAATCTTTCAATAAAACTTGTATTTTAGATACTTCTCTTTTATAAATTTCTTACCTTAAGTGATTTTTTTCAACAGAGTTGTACAGTTTAATGGTGTCAGATCAAACAAGCAAGGTGTAAAACAAAGCTTATACTTGAACTCATCGATACTTCTATGTATAAAAACAAGTCTGTGCTAGTCACAAATAAACATATAGATACTTATTTGGAAGGACCTTATTCCACACATCTTATAGAACTCACCTTGCAAGTGTAAGCAAGCCCACATTATTTTCTGGATTAGACCGTGTTTTAGAATGACAAATTAAATTAACAGCTTCTTGTTGAACTTGCATTCGGGTTGGAACAAAGTCTCCATTCCTCATATACTCACTATTGTCCACACTGAAAACAAACACAAGAACATATATGAAAAAACAAGGTACATTACTCCCCTCTCCCATCAAATCTACTACCTTGCACCTTTTGAATCCTACTCAAGTATGGCCTTTCATACTGATTTTACATAATTCACAATAGTTTATAAAGTGGAAACAAAAAAAGGCTACTACATACAAGTTGAAAATTTTTGAAATATGAGAAAAAAGTTGGTCTATTATGAGAATATTATGCCATTCTTATTCAGAAAAAATTAAATTATAAATATAAAACTGAATTCTCAGGGCAAATGAGTGATTCCTAATGGTCGAAACATTACATACAATGGTTACTAAAATCAAGAAAACATTTTCAGTTCTCTTTTCTTAATCAGGTTTTCCAGGACAAATGTATGCTACTGGAGGTTGTTTTCTACACATTTACAAGAGTTTTGCCAAGTTGTAAGCATACACTTTGTGTAGGTTGAAAACAAGTCATCCAAATAAATTGAATATTCATAAAAAAAAATCCACTAACATTACAGACAAGGGATTATTTCGATCTTCAAACTGTCCTTTCACACCCATTTCTCATAAAAAGCAAAAATTTAAATTCAGTATACTTTCAAAGTCATCTTTCCCCTCTTAAACTCTTGTAAGGTGCCAGTCTCCACTACCCCTGACAGTAATTAATTTCATAAGTTAATCACCCTGTAAGAAAAATAAAACTTTTTTAAAGTGAAACCTAGCTAAACTTTCCCAAATGTTAAAATTTTCTTTACCCAAAAAATGTATTTCATATAGATACTCACCTCTTTGTACACAGCTATTACATTTCACACTGCCATAAAGGTTATCTGTGCATGCCAAGAGCCTGTTAACATGTACTGCACCAGCCTATGATGTAATCTTTATTGGACTAAAGCTCTCCATCAATATAAATGCAATACATCCTCCATGCACAGTAATTCCCATGAGCACAAGCATTTGAACAGAGGATAAATCTTTATGGGAGCAAATTAAGTGCACCAGAGGAAGGGAGGGAGGTTGTGCAGAGGTGATCATCTATCTGAAATACATTTTCAAGTAAGAGAAATGTTAACTTCAGAAATGCTATTCACCTCTGTGCACAACAAAAAGGTAGATTGAGGGGCTCGTGTAGATAAAGAAATTACAAAGATGAGCTATTTTCTGAAAATACATCAACAGAAAGGGAAAGGTTATAAAGCATGTTATCCATTGAGGGTAGCTAAGTGGTGCATCATTCAGTGGGAGACCACATCCATCTCAAGCAGAGAATACTCAAAAGAGGTGTCAGAGCAAAAAAAATATCCTTAAAGGAATCTTTTGCTTGATGCTAAATTGTCACAGAGGTGAGCAGAATATAAGGTCGATCAACCATCTATTACAGCATAGGCAGTCATCTAAGCATGAGTGTTTAGTGTAGCTATGGCTAGTCAGGCCATTCCATATTGGAGAAATACTTATGCAAGATAACACAATAATTAGGTGCAGGGAGAAACATCAAAGACCTGTTTCCTGAGGATAAGAGGAGAACACAAGACCCATCCAGCTCAACTATCCACCAGGAATGGCTTGGTTTACAGAGGGCTACTGTGAAGAATGGAGAGTGGCAACTGGAAGGGAAAGTGAAACCTCACAGTGGCATTATTAATGTAACACTTGCATGTCAAGAGTCATCCACATCCCTGCCTGCAAGATCTCACATGAGATGGCAAACTTGAAGGGAGAAGACACGAAAAATAAGAAAAGAGTCAACATCCATAGAAGATAAAAGAATAAACTAACTGGATGAGGTGTATAGCCTATCTGAACAAAGTAGGAGATAAGTTACTAAATGAAGGAGAATTTCACATTAAGAAAAGACATTAACAAGTGCCCTGAAAATGGGCAGTACAAACAAGATAATAATGAATAGACCATACAAGACAGGGTCAGAACAATTGTACAGGGAAGAAAGGATGAATGGAGAAAACATCCAATCACTCTTCCAATCCACCCAAATTTTGGGGAGAAAAATGAACCTGTTCTTATGGTAAACAGTGAGAGTGATAGCTCCTGCAAACGAGAAGGAGAATATGTATGTCTGAAGCATATAAAAGGAGACTGAACCACACCAGACACAGAGCATCCTACACTAAAGCTTATAATGAGTACCAAAAGAGAGGAAGCAAGGAGTAGAATGGAGTTGTTAAGGCAGTGATGATAGGACTCCCATAGTAGGAGAAAATCCACTGCAAACAATAGATGATGGAGAAACCATTCTGTAGGAAGGATCCAAGCCTGAGTGAGAAAGTCTATCCATCAGGGCCTGAGCTCCCACGACATGATTGAAATATTTTCAGATCTGTCCAACATCCCATTCTAACTCATTGTCCCAATTCACTAATGACCAATCTTGTCTTATGGCATTGAAACTGGCTTTCTGAAAATTGGGAATTAAAATTTTTTACCTCAACATTAATTAGTTAATGGTAAATCTAAAATGAAATATCCTTTAATTGGTTCCTTGACAATTTGATATAGAAAAACCATCCCAATTCACTTTATAAGTAACTTCTCTCTCTCTCACTATTTAACTCCATATAGTCATGGAGTATAATTAAAATATACCAAAAAATTATGCATCAGTAACCTTATTAACAACAATCCTGATCCCATTATACAATTTCTCATGGACCTCATTTGGTCTCATCTGGTGTCCTATGACAACTTTTTATTAGAAATATTTTAGTTTTACCCTTGAAACCCTGATTGTAACCCATACAGATTCAATCTTCTGACTACAATTTTTTATCTCATGTGGTTAAACACCATCTGTCCCTCTAAAAATATTGATTGACAACACACTGTAGCTTTCTTAACCAATAATTCCTTTTACTTCAGTACATAATGTTCTCAGATAAAAAAGAATACTTTCAGCTGTGCTCTTTCCAGTGGATATTCAAACTTTAAGTCACATTTGTAAATGGTTTTAAAAAACAGGTATATGTAAGTGAAGTAAGAAGTCCAATTTTATATTATGGTAAAATTTACTTGAATCAACTTACTTGACTAGTATTTTAATGATAATTCAAACTAGTTTAATTTCACAACCATAAAAAAATTTACTTTGAAATTATTAACATAACTTTTCCTTCTAATTGCATCCCCCCCACTCAAAAAATATTTATTCATACCTTGTTATATTTACTGAGAATTTCAAAAATTTTAAAGAAATAAATTAGCTTTCCCATTTAAATCTTAGCGTTGTATTTTATAACTTATAGGTTTTAAAACCATCACTCTCAGTATACGTAAATTGTATAAACAATTTTGGAGTCACACTGTATAATTTCTAATAGAACATTTTAGTTTTTACAATTTAATAACAGCACAAGTTTACTCCTTAAAAGGAGTCTTAAGTAGTCTTTAAAATTATTAATAGCGTGATACTAACAATAACGCTGAAAATACGATCTGTAATCCTACAACGTTCAACCAATCATGCACCGTCATTGTTTAGTTAGGCTTAAACTACTATTACTAGCATTGGATGCAGACTCACTCAGTAGTAACTATTGTTATATTCGAGTGGCAAAACTGATTACTTTAATTAAATACCAACAAACTAATTCGTAACAGAACTTTATTCTACTCTTAATTAACTACATTCACAATAAATCGAAGCAGGTAATATTATTTTAATAAACTTACCACACCATAGTACTTTCAAGAACCATGATGACTTAAATACTACTAGTATTAGGCCTACTACGGGATTTAGCTTTCAAAGTTTCAGATGTTCACGACCATCGCAGCTTAAAGAAAAGGTGAAATCACAATATCAGTTCTTTGTGCTCATATTTAATGAATATTTAAATGTATAAAGTAGTGTGAGGCCAAATGAATGTTCCATTTTAAAACACAATTATTTATTTCTTATTACATTGTGATAATAATCAAATTGTGCCACTGACAATCAAATATTACATATTGGCCTGTAAGTTATTAAGCACGAAGCTGCACAATAGCCTATATTCTTTGTCCATCGCAGGTATCACATCCTGAATTTTAGCTACATAAACCCTCAGTTGTACAATTGAGCCACCGGGAGACATTAATCTTTGTGAAAAACAATCGTATTAGACCACTTTTTTTTATAAATAACCTCACCAGGTATCAGTATTCGAACATTAAAAATTACACATTGTGTAAATGAAGCTCCTGGTAAAGAGTTTGTAATTAAGCACAAAGCTACACAATGGGCTATCTGTGATCTGCCCACCACGGGTATCGAAACCCGGATTCTAGCGTTGTAAGTCCGCAGACATACCCCTGTGCCACTGGGGGCCCTGATAAAGAGTCGAAAGTATGTGAAAGTTGTTGTGAAATAACAATGAAATTCTGATGTAAGTACCCAGAAATTAGTGCTTTATCCCACCCGACGCATCCTCAAAGGCGCCGCTGCCTGATTTCTAAGCTTAATGTATGCTCCAGACCCGGTCAAACCAAATCCAGGACAAACTATAATACTCACGAATATGTACATCCCTCACCAAGCAGC